TTCGATTGACAAGGGAATAAACGCGAATAAATATATAGGCAATAAAAATAATTGAGTATTTATCGACTGTTTCAAACTTTACCGCTTGTATATAATTTACAAGCGCGTTGATGCTGGAGATATTAATCAAAATAAAATTCGCGATTTAACATGTTATAATTAATCATTTCTTTCCGATATGTGCCAATAAAAATTATTTTACTTCACAAAATAATATATATTAGATACACAATGTACACTCTTTGAAGAAATTTTATTTTCATGCATTTTTACTAATCTGATTTTCAACTAATCGGTTTAAAATTCATAGAATAATCTTTCCTTTTTTTTGTAATATTATATATCAAATGTATTTAAAAATAATTTTTTAATAATAACTGAAGTTGTTACAGAAAACGCGTATTTCTGTTTTCATTTTAATTAAACATTTAAAAATTACATATATTTTTTTAATACACGAGAAATTAATCTGATATACTATATGTAGCATAAAACTGCATGAAAAAAATATTCTTGTGTTCGTATAATTTCTTGAAATTTAAAATTGAATTTATTATTATAGAAATATGCGAATCCTCATATGTATAATATACATATATTGAAATAATAAATAATACATTATTCGTTTACCGTCGATCAATCGAACTATACGATATAACAAATGTTATTTAATTGTAAAATAATATAAACGATGTCTGATTAAAGCGAATAAGAATAAAGAAATATCGTGACCATTATCGTTTGATTGGACAGTTCCTATTTATATCGTGTATTAAGCTATGTGGCATCACGTGACTTACGTACAAGGGGCGTAGAAGTTTGCATTCCGTCCAATTCTCCTCAACGAGGCAATAACCGGGCATCTCGAAAATCTCCCGTCCTCCAGATCCCCCTAATTAAGAACACCAGCCGCGAGTATTGGAGAAGGGAATCCAGCGATACTCATGTTCAAAGCCTAAGCCTCTTTCCCGCGTTCCTAGAATCAGATTTCTCCTTCTATTAGCACCTTTATAGCGCACGAAAGAAAGAGTATTAAAATATATGTTATCCAAAAAAATATAATGTAATATTATATTTTAGAATTAATCATAAATATAAAATATTATTATTATAAATTACGCCTTAATCGTGCAACAGCAAAAATGCGAATAACAGAAAACGACCGCTTAAAATAAAATTAATTTCAAACTCAATATGTAAAATATTTGTTGATATATCTGAGATATAAAAAAATATACCTTACAAATTTTTTTTCTAAACATTTTGCTTTATAGAGGCAGAAAACATATATGTATAATAACAATTACTGTGCTAATAATGATAAACATTCTCAATATTAGACAGTGAATGTATTTGTTAAAATATTGTTATTGTCATTCTTTTTTATAATTGAAGATATGTAGGCTTTTATAATATGTTCACTATACGCATAAAGAAGAATTTTCAAATTATCTTTAGAGGATTAAATTGCTCCGAAATACATATAAAAATATATACAAAATTGCCTTGTTTTTCATATTTTTTTAAGCTACGTTCTCTAAGTTTACAATAAAGTTATTGAACAAATATTCCATTCAAAATATTAAATTGAATGATAAGATTTTGTAAAAATGTGATTTTTTGGTTCCATTCATTCAACAAAAAATTAAAGCGTACTATTAAACTGTAAAAATGTAACGTTAGTTACTAGTGTTGCCATCCAGCAGTGGCTCAATGCAACTAAAATACGGCAAAGTTGAATAACCGATTGACGGGATACAATTATAAACAATTATCATTATAAATGTTATTATTAATAAGCATAATTAATTAAAATACATTAAACATTTGAAAAAAAATCATGAAATGCTAATCATAATTTTTTTTAAATTACTATTGTTCACATAATTTTCTTTATTAAAATCAATTAATCCGCACGAAATAAATGAAAAAATACAATTCGGGAGAAAATTTATATTATATTCATATATACATATAAAATAGAATAATAATTTTAGAAGAGAAATTATTTTCCATTGCTTGTTAAAAATGCAGTTGCAGAATTACTAACAACAATTTGAAACTATCGCTTTTGAAAAAATATCAAACATTATACGTTAACATAATAAATAATAGAACGACGATGTGTTCATATCTACTCACGATTAACTCATTTCATTTTCGTTGCATATAATTTTCGCTGCATAGAAAATAACTTGTCAAAAAAATAACGACTCGAAACTATGATTTATATGAAAAGGATTTCGATTTCGAACGCAGACGCGAATCATATAGCGAATTCGATCGGATGAACTAGTGTGCATTCAGTACACATTAATGCCGTTGTACACGACTGTTTCTATGGTATCCCTACACGGAGAGAATTTTCTTTTAAAATTTACCCTGAAAATCATGTTAATTGTGAGACAATATAGTATTTAGGTAAATTTTACTGTGCACTACAATAAATTTTACTGCAAAATCTTATTGTAGTGCACAATAAAATTTGCCTAAATACTATATTGTCTCATAATTAACATGATTTTCAGGGTAAATTTTAAAAGAAAATTCTCTCCATGTAGAATACTACAATTGCAGCTAGTTTGTAATTTTTTGTTATAATATTTTTATATTAAAGCATGTAATATTATTATAATATATTAATATTTATATTAAAGCATATATATATATACATATATATATATATATATATATATACACGTACATATATATTATGTTAATTATTATAATCATTACGCAACAATTATCGCACCGATTCCCATTAACCTATGACATTTCAATTGTCAATCAATATAATTCATATTAATTTTTTTATCATGAGAATATCAAAGTAAAGTAATATCAAAGTAAATATCAGACTAATAATCATTTATAGAAAGAAATGGTTATAAATTACATTTCTAATATACCTCATAAAATCAAGATATATGTGGGATGAGGGCTCGAACTCGCGGGGACTGCCGATTTACGAATCAACGTGCTCGTACTGCACTGAGCCATACGTACATACCCCATAGAGTTATACATATATGTGATTATTTAAAAAAAAGAGCTTACTACAGTATGACCTTTCCACTTTGTAATTCATAATCAGTGGCGCAACCTTTGTTAAACTATATAATAGCGAATTTGATTGGACACACTAATGTGTGCACTCGATGTATTTTAATGCCATATTGCACACTGTTCTAATCTCAATGTAAAAGTGAAATATCTTGAATAATAAAATGCTCAATACATATTCCACCAAATAATATAATAGAGTAACTATATATAGTTATACTATTAAAAATTTCGCAATTTGACTGTTTCTAAATTTATATTAATAACATACTTCTATTTCTGTTGATCTGCAGTGTACAACACGATTTTAATGTGCACTGAGTGCGCATTAATGGGTCCAATCGAATTTAATAATAGATATTCAAACATCAATATTGTGACTGCTGCGTTTAGATTCTCCAGATGCACCCAGATATCATTTTATCCTTGTTGTTCACCGAATGTTAAACAAGAATAGAATGATACCCCGCGGGTGCACCCAGACGGAGAATCCGAACGCAGCCTTGGTGATGAATTTAACAGCAATGATACGCGAAGTTTGCGAACTGATATTTTACGAGAGATGCTCGTGATCGTGCACGCGCAGGATTCATACTTTTCGGCAGTAAAAATTGCGAAATATACTCTGAGATTCGGATGCGAGATATATTTCGCAAATATTAAAAATGTCAAGCGATAACTTATGTTGCAGCAATGGAAGTAAATAAGATAATCAATACATTTAATATTAATGCGTACCTGGCGACGGTCTCGCATCAATTAAATTTTCGCTCATGCATTTTGGCGAGAAATTATAACCTTGGCGAGGGGACGGAGACTCGATCTCCGGTCGATTCTCCGGGTCGGAATTACGGACTTGCGATATCGGGATATAATAATAAATACACGCGACATTGAATGCGATGTATTAATGCTCTGCGAGAGAAATTCGCGATACTCTTTCGCGCGCAGAATTCACTATTATAACAGTCGCGAGAAGTATGAATCGATACGAATTGGAATTCTGCGATCCGCGCGTAGCGTTCCAGCGATCGCGACACGCGACTGACGCGACATCTGTCGAAGACATTGCGAAGTAATGAGAACGCCACGGCGAATTATCGGTCGATGTTGCGATTAAAACGGCCGAGCGGCCGAAGTGATCGTCGAATATCGAAATTTTGTCTTACACCGCAGTCATGTGACTCATCGCCCACGTGTAGATTAAATTAATTAGAGGGACTCTCAAGGCGGGAGCACAGGCTTTTACATAACGCTGCATAACGCATATGACGTAAGGCATAAGAGAATCAACCAATCAGAGTATGAAATGAAGGACTCTGATTGGTTAATTTTTTTATGCCTTATGTTTTATGCGTTATGCAGCGTTATACAAAAGCTTGTGCTCCCGCCTTCATACTTGATGCGCCTTTCTTTGTAGATAAAATATAGATAGATAGATAGATAGATAGATAGAGAGAGAGAGAGAGAGAGAGAGAGAGAGAGAGAGAGACCCTCTAATCAGTTATCAGAGTCGCGAACTAAGGGCGAATTCACACCTTGACAGAAAGGCGGAAAACAGAAAAGCAGAAGCCAATCAGAACTCGCGTTGGTAGTTAATAGCTTGCTTTTCGCTTTTCTTGCTACCAGTGCGAGTTCTGATTGGCTTCTGCTTTTCTGTTTTCTGCTTTTCTGTCAAGGTGTGAATTCGCCCTAACGCAGGAAAGTTAGGTCGGGCAACGCTATTTTTCAGCAAAAACCAGATATATTATAATAGTGTGATAATGTTCGCTATTTCTGGTTTTTGCTGAAAAATAGCGTTGCCCGACCTAACTTTCCTGCGTTAATTCGCGACTCTGATAACTGATTAGAGGGTCTCTCTCTCTCTCTCTCTCTCTCTCTCTCTCACTCTCTCTCTCTTTCACCTCTGCGGAGTGAGGAGTGAGGATTTTGCTGAAAGTAGAGACCCTGTATATACAAAACACGCACGTGACTCCAGACTCCATGACTTCCGACTCTGTGATTAAAGGGTCTCTATAGATATACCTTTAACTACGTAAAATCAGCTGTGGTCAGCTGATTCCTGGGTGTCTGCTACTCAGATGCAAGTGGAAGAATAAAGTATGGTCAGGAACGAGTTTCCAGCATCGGAAGAAGTAAAAAAGGAAGAAATTATGGAGGAAACGGTGCAAACAGAGGAGACTAATCGCACCGACGAGGAAATGAGCCATACTGAGGACGAGAATCACTCTGATGACATTTATGAGGACGATCCCGAGAGTCCGTATATGTACACAGGTAAATATATATTCTTTAAGTATAAGAGCTTTTCGAGCAAGTTGAGAGATTGATCAAAGACTGACAACGCGCTGTACGACTATGAAGAATTTTGTTTGTCACATATTGTTTTGTCATACATTGTTATACATTATTACATCGTCGTTGTATATCTAAATATGTAAATGTATAGATATATATACATAAACAATTTTGGAAATAAGCACACAAATAAGTCCTTTAATCATGTAGTTTTCAATAATTGATGCCACGAGCAGAATACTTTTTAAAATCGAGTAAAAAAAAGATGTATATATATATATATATATATATATATATATATATATATATATATTATGTATATATTAT